GGATCCCGCTGCACAGAGAACTCAAGAAGAATAATGGGTACTGCCTTTGGGTACGTATGGAGAGAGCAGCCGAGAAGTCACTTTAACTGCCAGTCTCCGGAATTTACATTCGATTGTTAGAAAATTCGGAGAAAACAGGGTTTTGGAGCAGAGAAGTAACATAACGGAAACAGAGTTTGTAAGAGTTCTCTGTTTACTAATCCGACTTGCTTTGAGAGCCCAGACAGGGGGCAGGCTGACTAGCCCAGAGCTCGGTCGTCAGTGGTTGACGAAGAGATGGCAATGCCAACGCACGGTGCAGAGGGAAAGCCAGCAGGGCCTGATGCCCGAATGCATACGCGTGGCCAAGAACCAGGAGTTACTCACCGGGGCTTCTGTTCAGAAGAAGGACCTTCCCGCTAACTGCCGTGGTGAAAACTCTCTCTATGACCAAGGACAAAGCTGAGCAGCTCTGTTTTAAACGTGTCCTATAGAGAAGTAGACCCATGACACTCAAGTGAGAGAGAAAAATTTTAGGACAAGGACAGACCAAGAAAAATATGTGAAGCTATGAGAAGAGCTATGCCCAAATGCTGCCCAAAGTCAGAGTCCACTTCCACCCTAGGGACCTTCAGTCTGTTCGGTGGCTATAACAACATACCACCAACAGGGCACCTTATAAATAATAAACACGTATTTCTTACAGTTCTGGAGGCTGGAAGTCCAAAGTCAAGGTGCCAGCATGGTGATTATGTGCTGGTGGTAGCCCTCTTCTGGGCTGTTGACTTCTCTCTGTGTCCTCATATAGCAGGGAGGGCTAGGGAGCTCTCTGAACGTCTTTTATAAGTACCCATTTATGAGGGTTCTGTCCTCATGACTTAATCGCCTCCCAGAGGCTCCACCTCCAAATGCCATCACATTGGGTATTAGGGTTTCAACATATGAATCTGGCAGGGAACGCAAACCATGGGACCATAGTGCTATGGAGGAGTGCCATTACAACACAGGCTATTCCAGAGAGAGGCCAGTATGGAGAGGGTGGGTATGACGATGCTCACTGATCACATCAGTGATCAGGAAGGAGCTTCAGATGAGGAACTTCACATCTCTCTGAACTTCTCTGAGGAGTCAGAACAAACGAAGAGTTTGTCAATCCACACCTAATAACAACAGCAGACACTTTAACAGGTTGGAGGGCAAAATGTGGAAGTCTTGACATTCTGGCTTTTCTCCTGGCACAACTACAACAGCTCTGTACCTCTGATGAGTGTGCTCCCAGGGTCTCTGTCTCTCATTACCTGACATTCTGGTCTCTTCCCTTCTTTAATCAATTGAAGATTTTCAGTGGTTTCTAGGGAGTCATTCTAATATTCTACCAGATATCTATGTTGTCATGTCATTTCCCATGCTACTTTCCCAATGGCCCAGTTTCCCCCAAACAACCTTCCCGTTCCATTTATGGCCCCAGCGTGAGACAGAAGTAAACTGGCATGAACAGGCTGCTAAGGGTTTGATAGAGGAGCCTGGCTAGACTTGGGTTTTATACCCAGCATATGTTATCACATGGTTCCCCTTTGGTATGAGGTTTAATTCTTTCATTCTTGCATTCTCATCTATGCAGTGAAGACCCTGGTAACTTCTCTGCAGGACAAGTAAAGGCGGTCGCTGAGGCACCGGACACCTCCAGCAACAGTTTCCCTGGAGCTGGCTTTCCACAGATGATGGGCTTCACTCTTCTGCAGCTCTTTGTGAGCAATCAATGATGACACTGACAATGTATTAGCCATTAATAATTAAAAAAAACCCCTACACACAGATAGTAACCTACAGAATTTGTCTTACTCGATTAAAAAATTTAATAAATTATATATGCCAAATAACTTCATTGGCAGTTTAACAATTTAAAATGTAGTCGATGGTGGCCTCTTGAAGTTCATAATAAATTTTTGTTACACCTTCAAGTAAAAGAATTATATTTTGTGCATAAGAGTATTTTACTTTGGAGAGTTGATTATCCCTATGTCTAGTCTTCCAGAAGCCTATTTTATTTTTGTGAGTAAGCAGAATAAATCAACTAAAATCCCAGCTACTTTTTCAAGCAAATGTCTGCTCCTCTTCCTTTAAAAAAAAAAAAAAGCAGAAAGCATGGTCAAGAGCTTGGCTCTGTTTGACTGCAGGTGGGTCTCATTACTGAGGCTGGCTCTCCCTGGCTCCTGAGGACACCTTGCTCAAGGTCACTGAGAGGGCTTTGGAGGAGCCACACCTGACTGTACTGGTAGAACCTGAGCTCTGAGTCATTTACTTGGCAAAGAGCTGATCTAGGAAAAGGCAAAAGTCAGAGAGATGAGTCACAGACAGGGAACAAACTGCTCGCTTTGGAGGACCAACTTTAGGAAACACTGAAATGGGAAAACTGGAGTTTGCAGAAAACTAGCACTTATTTTTGGTCAGGACCATTCAACACACACGCACACACAAGTCTGCAGATGCGGATTTTGCTAGCAGCAATTTCTCACACTCAAAAGAATAAGAGTCCCTCGCAGAGAAGTTGTGAAAAAGGAAACTTTCCAAGAGAAACTGACTATCAATGACTTGAATTTGACTCAGATAAGAAAAACGAAAAACAAAGGGAACACTGTAACCTACTTCCTGAAATTGCAATCACATGAATAATGCATAGAGATCGGTGTTGGGATATTCCTTTCAAGACGACGACATACATACACATTACACAGGAGGTTTCATATTCTAGGTTGGAAAAACTCAAAAGTTTGACCAAAAGAATATTCCAAGGTCATTTTATGCCTTCATTTCTTTTTCAGTTTCCCTAAACATGGGGCCACTTTAAAAAGGATCCACCTTGTACTCTAAAAACCAACCTCAAGGCATGTATTGAGGAGCAGTGAAAAACGTCAATGAGAATATAACACACCTTCATGATGCCATTTATCTGCATTTTAAGAGCTCAGAAAGGAACCAAGTTTTAATGAACTTTAAATTAAAAAATGGCCCAGAACAGTTGAAAACATGTGGATAGGACAAAAACGATGCGTTTCACAATAATATTTAAAGCATTAAATGTTTCTGTCTTACTTATGGGAAAGCTGGTACAAGAACAACTTCAAGTAACTTGTACACAGATATGTATTTGAGAATTAGATGTAGGGGCCAGGATCTAGTGTCTACAACCCAGGTGTCATTGTGTTAATGAATCACATGGTTAAATCCTTTCTAATCTTCCCCACACAGGGCATAGCTAAATAACGATACTGCCAAAGCTCAAGATGGTTGCACCTGCAAAGATAACTGTCTTCTCCAGGTAGTTCCTCTGGGAGGGAGAAAGGAGGGGCCTCCGCTTCTTAAATGTCCATGCTGTCCCAGGTACTTCCCAGAGCTTATGCTATGTAACCTTTCCCAAATCCCTGCTAACTTGCTGTCATACTTATCTAGGATTTGGTAAACTAAGGCTTAGAGAAGTCCATTAGCAGGGTCGATAAGCAGTGAAGCTGAGGTCCACCTGCTGTCAGGAGACAGCGTGGTGAGCACTGACATCATCTGGCTGTGTATGAGAGTGGGGTGCTGAGAATCAAGAGGGAGACCAACAGGACCCTGGTTTGCTGGGGCATTTCCTGCTTTTGCACTTGAAAGCCCTATATGGCAGAAAAGCCCTCGTCTGTGGGCAAACCAGGATGCGTGGGCTTCTAGAACAATGTAGAGTGGAGAATACAGCCCTGTCAGAGGCACTCCCGACTAAATCTACCTGTGCTCAGGTACAATGCTACCTCCTGGGCTTTACAAGGCCTGGGGATAGGAGCCAACAGGGGCCCACGGCATTCGTATCAGAATCTCTTATATCTAGCATAAGAAAATACGGTAATGTAGTGAGAAGAGTGATGGGTTTCAGGGTGCATCACTAAGAACTCTGGTTGGCTTTTCTTTGTCTCTTTCCAAAGACTGTAGAATTTCATCTGGCACAGGTTGACTCTTGCTTGTCAGCCTCGGTTAAGAGTCTGAGGTTCCTGAAGAGCACTAATATCTACCTAACAATGTCCTGCATAATGCCATAACAACAAACTATAAAATGCATAGTGTACTATAGAAGTATGGCGCACTGCACTTGGAGGCTGGAGAGGAGGGTCCAGGGAGGGTGTCAGTCAAATCACAGCACGTGGCCCCTGGGGATAAGGCAGCGAGGTTAGGACTCTGTGTTCTTTTTACTACTCTTCAGGTCATTGCGGACATGAGTCAGCTAGACAGCCATCTCTCAATTTTCTAAACATTCCCAATCTCCTCATTTGGCCATTTGGAACTCTCAAGCCCTCTGTAAAGAGGAGGAACATCTGTACCTTGAAGTTCATCTACTCCCTCAGCTCTTTCAAGGTCTGGTCATGGGATGTTTCCAGGCTCTCCATCAGCTCTGGAGACCAGGCGCTGATGCTGGGAGCGGCGTGCACCTGGGGCAGAATACCCAGCAGTGCCTTCCTCGTGCACACACACTCCCGACAGCTGCCCCGCCCTCTCGGGCTGTCCCTCGGCTGGCACACTGGTTCCACTCTCTCCATATGGTCTCCTTTGAGAGGCCATCCTGCAAAGATCTCATCTCCCACCCTCCCAGGGCATCTGCTGCGGGCCCCACGCCATTTGCCCTTCCAGAAAGCACCATCGCGCTCCCCAACCACAGACAGTGTACCTCTAGCTGTAGTGTACAGATACTCATCTTTCAGTATTGTCTTCAAATCCATGCACTGCTCAATACCTGTTTACTGGTAAATGGGACCCAGCTTTAACAAACCGTAACTACTAGCAATATGTAGAAGACACATCATGGAAATCCTTGGGGAAGTGAGCCATCATTTGTGTTATTTGGTCCTGGCAGGGATCTCGAAGGAAGAGATTTTTTTTCCAGATAGCAAACTATCTAAAACCTCAGCCTCTTTGTCTTAATGTAATAATGACACAGGTTTTCTGAGAGAATCAATACCTTCTGCTGAGAATAGATCAAAGCAACACAATACACTTACCTGAAAAGGAATGAGTATTTTATGGATGGTAGGCAGAAGTCACAGGGAAGACTTCCTTTCTTAAAGTACTCTCTGCAGCAAGAAAAATCTAAAAATAGAGAAAGAACAGACGGCTATTGTTGTTTTATTTGACAAAACAGGCAGGCTATCAAATATATATAGCGACAGAAAATGATGATGGTTTCAAAAATTGCTCATTAAGTTTTAAAAATAAATAACAAATATGTACATAAACCAAAATGTGTTTGTTTTTACAAACTTCATTTAGAAGCCAAGTATCTTGCTCACCTAGGTTGCATTTTTAGGGAGATGCCTAACTGTAGACAACGATTATACAGAAGGAAGAATGTGAGCATCGAGTTGTGAGAAATCACATAAATAAAGGTTGGTGGGATGTCATCTCATTGCTGGACCTGAGTCTGGGTCCACCCCGGGTGTGACAGATAGGGTGTTCGAGTTTCAAGGGCCTCAGAGCCTGTCTGGTGCACTCTCAGGGGGCCTCTCGGGGACCAAGTTCTGCTCTAGGCTCTGGTGGTGAAGACCCAAATCTCGGACCTCTGATATTCGGCATTCCGGAAAGAGCAGACTAAACACTAGAGATGCTATCTCAGAATGTCCCTCTGGGATGGCAGTTGGAGACATCTGAGCAAAATCCTGAAGGCAGCGAGAAAGTGAGCTAGGATCTACTGAGGGAAGCAACTTCCAGGCAGAGGGGGCAGCCAGGCCCTGGAGGAGGTTGAGGGTGACACAGAAGTGACAGCTAAGCCCTCGGTGATGGAAATCAGATGAGAGGGAAGTTGATGTAGGATAGAACCTTGGGGGAATATCGACCTGAAAGGTGGGTAGGAAAGGAGATTGAGATGGAGCAGCCAGACAGGAGGAAAACGGAAGGGAGGCCACAGGGTGGGAGAGGTTCTGGCTCTGACCATCACCTCCGAGGAGAACTCTTCCGACTCTGAGAGGAGGGCCCGGGGAAGGATGGCTCGTGACCAAGGAAGTGTGGAAGCCCGACCAGAGCAAAACACCACAGAACCAGGACAGATCTGTGCCGGTTTTACAGGATCTGAAATGCGGTGTCTGTTTTCATGTGAACACTTTACTGGTGGCAAGATCCAATGCAACTATGTGACCCTGACAGTGGACTTTCCCCCCCAATTTGGCAAGATTTAAAATCTGTCTAAATTCAATTAAATGTATGAGAAAAGCAAAAGGCCTTAATTGTAATAAGATGAAGTGCAAGTGTTACAATCAAAGCCCAGACTTTTTTACAAGCTTGTCTTTAATAAGCATGTACACAACAAACGACTTTAAAGAATCAGTTAAAGAGAAGTCGACAGGCATCCGATAGCAAGTGATAATTCCTGGCGATGCCAACAGTGCCAAAAGTCATCACTGAATTCCTTCAGAGTACAATAGAAATGACTGTGTTTGGCAATTTCTTTAAGATGCATTTTTAAATTTCTACATGGCTGCAGTGGGGGGAGTGGGGGTGGGAAATAGAACTGTATTGAACAACAATAAAAAAGTTAAAAAATAAAATAAAATGGAAAAAATAAATTTCTACATACAAGTTTTTCAATCCCATGTGATATCAATCTATCACAATAAATAAAAATATTTCCATACAATAATTGAATATGTATTCTAAGAAGAGAGAGCAGAAGTAAGAAAAAAAAAGATGGTTTATACAGTTGACCATGGGTTGCAGTTTTGAACTTTGCAGGTCCAGTTACATATTTAAACTTTTTTTTCAATGAATACCTATTCTGTTTGCCCTCCTCTCTTGGGAGTCCACGGAGGCAAAGGGCTGACCGTATCCGTTGATCTAGGCCACTTTGTATGGGGACTGGAGCATCCGAGGGTTGGTAAGTCCGGGGGAATTCCAGAGCCAATCCCCCAAGGTACTCAGGGTAGTTAAGTTTTGGAGGAGTCAAAAGTTATGTGTGAATCTTCTACTGTGCAGGGTTTGGGGCTTGTAACCCCCATCTTGAACATTTAATACAGATCGCGAATCAGACAACAGGGTGAAGCTCAAAGTCAACATACAGTATGAAACAGATCTGTGGCCCGCACCGACTCCCACTTAACAGGAACACAGTGGGTATGGTACAAGGTAGGTGGGAAACTGTTCTTTCTGGACCAGTCACTGCTATCTCTCTTCTCCTGAAGCCTTCTCGCTCCCCCCAGCTGTTGAGAGAACTGGTCACCTCTCCTTGGTGCCCTGTTCTGTTCCTTACACTCCCCATTATTACATTTTTGCTGTGCCTCTTCACTAGGCTGCTTCTTACAGGGTGGCTGTGTCTCCCATCTTTCTCTCACTAAAGGCTTAGCACAGAACCTAGCACATAGTAGGTGGCCCTAATTGTAGAATTAGATAATAAAAGAAAAAAATAAATACACTTAGATAACAGGCCTGATGTCTCTTCAAATATTTTTCCAATCCAGAATATTTTGGGAGTGTCAATCCAGAAATATTTATTGATTGCTAATGACAGACCCCCCCCCTCAGTTCTTTTGATATCACGGCTGCCTATACTCTTATAGCCAATAGCAGGTATTGCCTATTGCTCCCTCCTTTTTACAATATTTCAGGCCTTGTTCAGCCCAGTGGCTTTCTGGCACAGCACACACCATATTCTACACGAAGTAACTTTTCATTTTTAAACTTAGGACCATTTTTCCTGCTGTGATTTTAAGCCCCTAAGAGAAAAAGTTTGACAGTATCACTTATACCAGATACTGTTTTAATTTTAAAACACTGTATTTCTTATACTCCAGCCATGTTAACAGACCTATTTGATGGATCGGAAATGTCATTCTCTCACCAGTAAAGAGCTATGGAGTTACAATGAGGGAGAAAACAAAACTGTAAAGTGCTAAAAACATGCACGTTTGTTTTCTTACCTCAGAAATATTAACTTTACCTCAGACTCATTTTAATGTAGTTTTAAAAAGTTAAGATGTGATTCAGCTATAGTTAACAGCACAGATTTTACTACAAAAATAGAAAAACCTTTTATTTGGTGCTATTAGAAAAGTGCCCCGTTAGTGTAGGTCGGAAGGCCCCTAGTGCACAGCGCATTACACAGTACCCACTAATGTTACATTTTGAGAAAATTCCTCCCAGACACCAAAAGTTTTAAGACACAACCCTTGAGAGTCGACATCTCTCAGAATACTCCCCAGCTCCTGGTGACACATGGCTTAATAGGGCAATGCTCCCAGAAAGAAAGTTGACAAAGTTTGCCTTTGACAATAATTTATTTTAAGGTAGCCCACTTCTCAGAAATTCTCTAAGATCAAGGTAATGTAGTTAGTGTTTCAGGAGATGAAGAGAAGCAGAGGGAGGGACAATTACGGAATGGCGTCAACTTATTCTTCGCCAGACAAGTGTCTGAGCCTAACGGTGGATGCAGAGATGGGCTACGGTGCAGGTCCGCAGCAGGCAGGGGGTGAACCGGGAGTGCGGGTCTGTATGTGGGAAGAAGAGCAACATCACTACAGTTGACACTGTGCTTTCCGCCTCTGCTCTGCGACCTCCTGATCTGTTACAAGCGATCCCAAAGAAGGAGTAAGTGTTCAGCCAAGTGCCCTTCTCATGGTCATTTCAGCACACAGGGTGTCTTACACTGAACACTTACACTGAACGCTGCAGACTGCTTGAAGCCATAGAGACCCTGAATTACAATGAATGACTATCCAACTTTCTCATTGTACACAACGCTGTATTATAATACATGACAAACTTTCATAATATTCCTTCTTGTTTCCCCCTTAAAACTGGTATTTGAGTGAAATGTTACATCGGGTGATTTATTACACTTCAGGACAGACCGGGGAGGAGGTCTGGGAGCAGGGCAGTGAAGCATAGTTAGGCATCTGAAGTTTTCCTCTACCAAAGAATACACTGAACCCCTTCAACCAGTGTGTGGTTTTAAATCAAAGCAGTAATGTTAACAAAGTACTTAAACGGCCACGTTTGACTTTTCAGGAGCAGAGCAATAATTCCTGACAGCTTTCAGACATCAGCAGGGCTCTCCACTGAGAGCAGACGCATGGTGGCAGCCAGCCAGCCGTGTCGCTGGTGACTCAGTGCCCAAGTTTCTGTGGTCTCCACAGTCTGATACGGCAAGCACATCAGTTCTCAACTTTGAGGACTGAATGGCAGCAGGGGCGCTTCTGAAAGAAAATGGAACTCCCTGGAAAAAGCACACTGAGAAGCAAATTCTCACATTGCATTTGCTGGGGTTTCTTTAAGCTCAGCCTTGGCCATTTAAATGTTTTTCCCTCAGCAGGTATCATATTTATTATAGCATTTAAAATTATTTATCATTTGATTAGGAAAATAATCCAGGCAACCATTAACAGAAATCTTAAAATGTTGTCAAACATTAGTCTATGTGGTAAGAACCCCACCTTCCTGTGATTAATTTCAACTCCAAAAGCAACATCCCTGTGAAACAAAGCCTGGACTCAAAAATTCTCTCCTTGGCACAGCTGAATACACACCTAGAAATATTTTTGGCAGCATGGACTATGCTATCGCTCTCTTTGTTAAAAAGGCTTAAGGGAAAACTGCAAAAGGGGAAACAAAGAAAACCATCCAACATGAAGGCTGCACTCATCTTTGAAGAAAGAATAGCACATCGCTTCTCCCGGGACCCTGCACTGACGGCAGGAGGGTTGCTGGCCCGTCCTAATTAAAGTGTGTTTCGCTGAACTCTCCTCCATGGCTCATTGTTCAGGAGAGCCTGGACTCAATGCACACAAAGTCGACCGGATACCGAAACGCACCTCCAAAGGCACCGAAATTGATGCAACATCAGGCTTTCCAAAACAGAAGAGAACCAATAAGAATCACTCCCCAGCACATGCACTCTTGAAGCCAGGTAAAGACAATATTCCTTCATGAATAGAGTAGCTGTTTACCAGCCAAGCCTTCTCCAGGAGAACATTATTTTGGTATGGAACGCTGGACCACACATGCTAGTAACAAAAAAGCAAGATCAAATTCAATAGATGACATGATGAACACGCTTCATTTCATGCATGGCCGTGTTTTTCCTGTGAGATAAAGACTCAGAGTAA